GCCGTACTACTAATTAGATTTGGTCACATACCAATGTTGAAGTCGTAAAGCTTGCTTTACGTAATTGAGAATTTCGACGCTGATAGTAATTAACAATTGATGTTCGACGTTGATGTATAGCAATACCAGCACTAGTCATATTAGCTGCATTAATTATCGACAAACGACGAGGGTCAACATCAAATAAATGACTATTAGTTGTTGTGGAAGGGGTCAGGAACAAGTTAGACGAATTGTTAGGATGAAGTGAGGACATTAATGAATAAATACGAATAATAAAAATGACCAAAGAAAACAAAAAAACAATGAAAAGAAGTATACAATAGATGAATGAAAAACGTTACAAATTAAAGATGTGTATGTTTTCTCGTTGTTTTAGCTCCCATCGTCGTCATCATTGTTTCCAACCACCTACTATCTCACAAGCACATGAGGATACACAAGAGAAGAGAGATAGAGAAAAAGATAGTTGCTCTATTTAGAGAAGAAAGATTTATTCGGTGCCATCGCTTCAAGAAAGAAAACATAATGGTGCGTGCTTGTGTAAAGGGAGCGCAAGAGAGAGAAAGAGAGAGATAGATAGAGATAGAGAAAGAGAGAGAGAGCAAAGAATCTAGAAGGAAAGCGAGAAACGAACGCCTGCTGTGTCTGACGATTCGCTATTTAAACGAATACAATAATCATTGATGATGATGTTGATGATGATGATGATGATGATGATGATGATGAGAATGCTTGTTTCCTTTTTTTATTCTCCTATTCCATTGGGGTCTCTCTTTCTATTTCTCGGTGTGGTAGATAGCTTGCTAACTCAGTCGATATTTTGCACACATGATAAAACAACGACAACGACATGCATCTGTTTCTCTTTTTTTGCTCAATAACGAAACTACAACATTCATCGTTGTTGTTCTCATTATTGTCATTTAACTCGATCTCTTTTTCCTTCCATTTTCGGTAATAGTTTTCGGAAGAAAAAAAAAAAGGAATAGAACGATAAAACACAAAAAATGATTCCCAATCGAATGTCAAGTCGAATTAGCTCGTTGTCAGTTTAATTAACGAGATCTACACAATTTTCTCGTTTGTTAGCTTGGAATAAGCTTTACGAACAGAAATATCTATCAAATTTAGTTCGATTGACGACAATGACAACAACAACAACAACAACAACAATAACAACAATAACAACGATGATGATGATGATGATGACGAGTCTACAAAACTTGATAAGTTTTTTCTTTATATAATATTATATAGAAACATACTATTAAAACTCTTTCAAGCATAGAAGAAGTGATCCGATTGTTTTTTCGATGACAGTCCAATCAATGGCATACATCCTATCTATCTTTTTCTGTCTTGAAAACAAAAGTTCATACCAATGGGAATTGTGTCTTTTGTATTTTCTCAATATGATTAATTTGATCATTCTACATAAAACTACTATCATCTCAAGGTGATCGTCAAAGGCCGTCATTTTCTTTTTCTTTTCTGTTCTTTTCCAAAAAAAAAATCGATTATTCTTTACTTATATTCTACGTAGGAGAATTATACAGCATGTAATGAAGAGCAACATAAGAATGTTGTTATTGTTACTGTTGTTCTTCCTCTAGGCGTTTATAATAGCATAGACTAAACGACATGCGAGAAGGATTATAAAGCATTTTCGGTTTATATGTTGTGTATGTTATTGGTTACAATCATTTTCTCATTAGTACATATAGGTTGAAGAAAAGATATGTTATACTGAAAGACAAGAAAACACACTGTAAAACATATTTTACAAAAAAGAAATAATTAAGAAATAGACAAAATTATTTACACTCAAGTAATTCTTTTTGATTACACACTATGTCACAAGAAGTCACTAAAGGAGCCATTGAAATAAATATATTGTCTATAATAATAACTATCTGTAGTAATTTTTTTGTTTATTCTTTTACATAGAAGCATATAATTAGTGGAAAATGTAACAGAGTCTAAATTAGGAAATGCTATTCTAATGTAATTTAATTAAATACTAATATAGCTATCTGTTACAAAATGAATGATTGACGATCAATAAAAAAAAAAAAGAAAAGTCAACTATCTCATTTTTCGGTACATAGAAGATGAAAGTTGATTTTAAAATATTATTTTGATCTTCATAGATCAACTTCTTTTTAATGATACGCACCATTTCAAAAGTCGTCTGTTAATTTAGCGATGATTGATTTATTGTCGTCCATCATTTTCCTTTTTTTTTTCTCCTTTATTCAAAAGAATACCTTTAAGAAAAGGTTGCTCTCGTTTACTTGCTTTTTCCGCATTCGATTTCTTTTTTCAAATATTTGTTCAGCTTACACAAGCATGATATGATGATGTTCAACGGTAAAATAAAATGCGCATTTCAAGAAAAAAAAAGAAAAACTTAAAGTCGTACACCACATAAACGTCACATTTCTCGTTTCATTTCTCACAATGAACTTCTTTTCTTTTCATTGAACTGGAATAATCATTGTTATTACCTCATGTGATCGACTAATATCTCTTTTTTGTAGAAATTGTTTTCGCTTGACCATACCCACTTTACCAATATTTTTTAATTCCATTTCCTAGAAAAGGTATAATAAAAATAAAGTGATGAAATTGTTTTCGCTGTTCAAACTCGATGTTAGTTTTTTTTTAATCTCTCTGAAAAGAAATGACTACAAGAGCGAGAGAGCGAGAGAGGTATCATTCATAATTAGTTTGTTGAATATTTAAACAAATCGTCAATGAGATCATTAACAAACAAACTTATTTTATGTTCTTTTGTTCTTATCCCATTTTTCATTCCCTCATTATTTTTTTCTTCTTCATCCCATTGTTAACTATACAACCATCATCAGAAATACTGCCGGAAACTTGCTCTCTCTCTCTATCTACTCTCATTACACTCGTCCTGTCTTCCCCCCCTCCTCTTTTTTTTTTCGCCATTGAACGATGAAGGCGAATTCCCAAGTTGACATTTGGTTGATTGGCATTACTCTATACTATCACCGGTTAGACTCAAATCAATTTGTCTGCATCGTTCTCTTTTTTTTTTCATAACGTGTTAGTAGCACATACTTGAAACTTGAAATACTCTTTAACAAGAAAACGTTTCGAATACTATAATAATGATACCTAATCGTGAATGGCACCTATGTTTGTTAGGGTATCATTACTTCTATTTCTTTTTCTCTGTTTTCATATGCGCATATAAAAGGATTTAGTAGTTCCATAATTTTCTATTAATATAGAGAAAAAAGTTCTAAGACCGACTGATGAAAAAAAAAAACGACTGTAGCTTATATTAAACACTCTGGATATCTTGTTCTAGTTGTTCAATTGAAATAATTATTTTTATTTGCTTCCAGAGAAAAAAATAATCAAGTTCTGTCGAATTCTATATAGAATATAGAGAAAAAGAAAAATATATTTGATACCTAGATCATTTTCTTTTTTTCTTAGTTTATTTTTCTAAGAAACTGAATTTTAATAGAATAACAAGAAAATCTTCAATTCAGTTTTCTTTATACCTGTCCTTTTTTGGCATTTCCGGGTTTACGAACGACAAGCGTTGCTACTGTTTTCCAACTCCTATCAGCTGTTAAATAAGTAGGCGATAATGCTGTTGTTTGCTTAGGTAAAATTGGTTGTTCGACAATTCTCTCTTGATATTGAAGTTTTTTTGTATTAAAAGACCGTTTCATTGTTGTTGTTGTTGTGGATGATGATGATGATGAAATATTTTTCATATTTAATTGAAGATCCATTAATTTAATATATCTCTACTGAACTAATAACTTCGTCAATGATACTTCTGTTGATAGATGTTCATCTAATAACAACAAAAGCCAAGTACACCTGCGATCGTGTCAAATACTCCAATGAGCTTTGTCACGAACACGAGCATTAACAGCTTCTATGTCAATGTATTTAATAATGGCAACAGCAAGTTCTTTTACGAGACTACCCACCATGACTACTAACCCACAAACAAAAAAAAAAGGAGGCAAAGAAGCAGATAAGTAGGAACAAAAGAAAAAGCGAGAAAAAGAATAAATGAAGGCAAAGAAAAAATAATTATGCTGAAATTCACATATATTTATATAGACGAATAAAAAGAAAAAAAACTTGACTTCTCTACCAATAACTACCCACAGGAACATCAACACCAATGGAAAGTCTTTTATTAATGTGAGTGTGAGGCGGTCAGAACGGAATCATCCTAATCGCTATTCTTTTCTTTTTTATCGTGTACGTCTTTCTCTTGCACTTCCTTGTTTATCACTCAGGCGATGCAAAATATAATTCCAAACACGCATAAAGACATATCTCTCGCCTAGTTTCATCTAATCGATTACGAAAGAAATGATTTCTTCTTTCATTCGATTAATATAATATTCAATCTGATTTTTTTCGAACTATAATCAATACATCAATATTTAACAAATTAAAATTCGTATAGGAAATACTTACAAAACGATACATTGTTCGAATTGTTGATGTTGCATAGATCATAGAACATGTATTCATTGTTCTTCTCTTTAAAGTGAAAAAACGGAGAAAAAAAAAATTCTTTTTCAATAATGATTAGACCGACAGTAAAATAAGAAGCCTCTCAATTTCCGCTGTGTTTCTACTTTCAAGAAGACCAACATTATTTTTGGTGTTCATCATTATTCTCATCATACTATTCGCCTAAAGACAAACGATGATGTCTACCCCTATGACATGGAGTATTCAAAACAATAGAAAAAAAAAAGTACTTAATTGCGATTAATACTACTGAAGATACTATCAGGAAATTGTGATTTTTTATTATTTATAAAATAGAATGTAAAAAAAAAAAACTTTTTTTTTTTTTTTTTTTTAAAGAAAATAATTAAATTGATTGATTAATATTTATACATATATATTTATAAACAAAATATCTGAAGTTTTGATCACACAAAAACAAAAAGAAAAAAAAAATGCACATATGAAAAATATTAACGTGAAAGTGTATTAAATGATGATATCTGACAAGATTTTATTGAACATGAATCAAAATTTGAGCTTGTTAATGAAGGTATTGAATCTAAACAAAATGAAAATTTTCTTTTTGTTTTTTTTTGAATTTTATTTAAATAAAAACATACTTGGATTTATCGGTCGTTTCCATTTAGAAAAAGCTAAATGAAAGAAAAATCAAGATGTCATCTTTTATTAAACAGCTTGAAAAAAATTCTATTAATATTCATCATCTATTAAGGTACTTCCGTTCTATATATATATATATAATATATTCTACTTTGGCACTATATAAGAGATTCTAGAAAATTTCAACGAACATTTTTCTTGATATTTGTTCAAAAAATCTCACAAACTATTTACATTTACCAATTCTCATAGAGATTCTAACACATCTATCAGATTCCATAAATATTTCAGTATTACTATTCAATCTTGTACAGTATGTCGATTAATTTCTCACTATAAACGTCATCAATAACTTTTATCATCAAAGCTAAAGAGTAATAAATTAGCTTTGCTATGGGACATGAATGTGATAAAGAACTGAATGTTTATTATCTATTTTTTTTATTATGATCGGTTGTTTTTTAGACTAAAAAAACTCAAATGTTGTGACCTATTGATGAATAAGGTCGAATGAAATTTTTCATTCAATAAATTTCATATTAATAGAATTGCCTCGGATGTTTGTGTTACTAGACAACCTCACTAAATAATAAATAGTCTTTAAAATGAGTCTTACCTCATGAGATAGGCTCTCTTGAGACGAGAATAGGCCGAAAAGGAATTGTGACTATTATGAGTCTCTCTTCTGGAATAAGGATCGTTATAATGTGTTGTTTCAAAAAAAAAAAAGAAAATATTATGCTCTGTCTCTCATACTCAACTTTCACATTGAATTTCGACTTCAAATTTTCAATAGAACTAGTTCATTGTGGAAGTATTAACTTTTTAAATATTTCTTGTCTTCAGTTACCATTATTAAAAATTCTCCTATGTGAAAAAAGCAAAAATTTATGGAGAAGTCAGAATACATGACATTAGAAAATTGGACATTTTCACGAATAATAAATCTTATTGAACATATTATTTATACAAAGTTCGAACTCGAAATTCAACTTGAAAGGTCACATGAGAGATAAGAAACGATATTTTCTTGAAAAATTTATAAAAACTATTATAGTTGAAGAAAGAAACCCATCAAATCGTTGTATCGATATCACCTATTCAATGAAATAAAATTCATCGGCAAATGAGATTTCTTATCTGGTGACCTTCCATTATTCAATATCTAATCATATACCTACTAGGTGATGTATTGATTAACTTCAGAGCAGCAATTGGCTTTTACTAGTTGAAAAATATTTTACAGATATGCTATTTTTATCCAATAAAACTTGTTAAAAGTCAGTTAGCTTTCTCTTATCAAAGTAATCAAATAGTGTTATTTCACGCACTATTAGTTCAATTTTTTTCTGTTCATTTACCCTAGTTTATTTTTTTTTTTGTATCAATATATATTCCATTTTTTTTAAAAAGACAGCAAAAACTGTATTACTTGAGCTAAACATTTTTAATAGAAATCAAATTTAAGTTTGAATCGTCGTTCGAAGAGCGACATTATGTTTAAGTTTAGCAATTAGCCATTGGGTGAGTGACTTGTTTGTTTTTGTTTTTTGCGCTATATATAGAACTATCGTATATTTATTTTTAGAAAACCTAACAGATATAAACGACTACAACATAATATTTCTTTCTGAAGATTTGTAAAAAAATTTGAGTGCGAAAAAAAGAAAATGAATATGTTTTGAAACTGCTCATATTAACCGATGAATATATAATTCAACAAACTGACCAAATCAATTCAGAAATTCTGGACTGGTCACAACTCTGCTTAAATTAATCAAAAAATTGATTAAATTGCAAAAAGTAATGAAATAAGATATTTTTCATTTCTTTTTTCTCATAGTTTTACTCGACTAATTCTTGCAATATGATTAAGTAGAATGTTTGATTTTTATTCATTTATTAAACCATGTCCTTTGAGACTTTTTTTTTATAGATGAATTTTGCAGGCAAAGCTTATTTTCTTTTTCTGTCTTTCAAAATAAAACATCAATAAATAAAATCTGAAAATAATCAAAACTGATGTTTTTCGATGAATAACAAACAGTTTTATTTCATATCTTTTTTTGCAGAATAATATATGTCATTATCGAAAGTATTTCTTAATATAAAAAAGAACTTTCATTGTCTGTTATAACATACTACTTAGGGCGTACAAAAAAAGCAAAGGCGGTATTGCTTTAACCCTTTGGCGACGGGACTTTTTTTTTTATTCTTTTGAAGAGATGCAGAAATTGTAATTTTTTTTTTTTCATAAAAGCTTGAAATGAAGCGTATAAGCCAAGAAAAATAGTGGGTTTCGTAAAAATCATTGAACTTCATAAGATTCTCAAATTGCAAAGTCAAGTAGAATGGAGCAGAATCTTATAGAATTCTAAAGATGCCTTTATGGAGAATTTTGAACTTTATACTATAATAAAGATTTCATAAAATCTAACATCTAATAATCTGTAACATTAAAACTTCAGTAGTAAAAATGCCTCCATCGAACAATAATGCTTCTGAAACTTCACAAAATATTATGACATTTTATGCTTCCTCTTGATACACATACATAATTGTATCACATGATGATGCTGTGTGATACTAACAAATCAAGTAATAGGGAGAGTATTGTGAGGGCCTAGGAAAGATAAATTATCGTATAAATTGGAATCTGCGCAAAAACTCGAAGCGTATGTATATATATAGATGTAACCAGCCGTCAAAGGATGAATTAGTTATAAAAAATTTTCTCTCTATATAAGTTGCTAGTAAAAGCGCCTCTTTACTTTTTTTTCCGCCATTATATTATGCTTCAACTAATGTTATAATAATAAAATTTCAATGAAACTTGTTTGATTTTCTTTTTTTCGCGTCTTCTCTTATGCGTAGCTATTTATATATATATATATTAGAGTCTACAAAAAAAAGTTATGGTGACAGAATATAAACGAGATAAAGGAACAATTAGCTCGTACTTCTTCGTCAGCATCCTATTGACCTTGATAAAAACCATTTAGATCATCTTTCAACTGTCCTAAGAGAAGAAGATTCATCGTCATAAACAGAACATTATTTATCATAAATAACTCGTGCTTGAGTATTAAGTGTAGTATGCGCTGTAATATAGAAGTAAAAATTTTCCTTATTCATCTAAAACAGAAATGAATAGGTGTCAAGATTTTATCTAACTTTGTTTCTTTAACTTTCTTGACAATACGCTAATAAACTACAGATGCAAACAAGACATGTGTCATTGTGTATATTTACATTTGTCGGAGTTGACTTTAAAGTTGAAAAGACATTCTCTTATCTCTTGTGAATAGATGCATTAGATATTTGAGTAAATATTTGGTAGCATGAATAGACATAGTCGATGGAAGGATGCTCTTTGAATGCACATTATTGAACGAGTTTAGGCAATCCTAGGTACAGAAAGTTTTCAATTAGATGTTTACGAACTTTCACGAGGTATGTCAAGAGCACTTCAGTATTGGAGAAATGCATTAAGTAGATTTCCGCTAGCTCTTTCATAGTCTCTATTCCTTACTATGAAATACAAGAAACTGAACTTCTCAAAAACTTTCCGGCATTGTTTCTTTAATAAAGACTGTGAGACAGACGGGAAACAATGAAAGAAGCTCAGTCTAGTCTGTTTTTGGACTTTATTTCTTGTAGACCAATCAAATTTACTTCAGATAAACTAGTACAACTTTTGTATTCTTGTCATAAAAACTAGTAAATGTTATTGTAAATCAACAAAATTAACCACATATTGTGAATCTACTTATTGCTCTGTTCCTTACTGTATCTTATATTCAACAATTATCTTTGTGTAATCTGTATTTTTATTAGACAGTCCTATGATTATATATCTCTACATTTCTTATATATTATTCTTCTTTTTTGTTATTTTTCTTTAAATGTACTTTTACTATTACTGTAAGAATCTACAGGTTTCCGAGTATTAAAAAAGAGACAACAATTGAAAAAAGCCACTGAATTTTAAAATCAACTCGAACACATATATGTAGATGGTTATGTATTAACTCTTTCACCATGAGGTTTTTTTGTAAAAGATGCAAAAATTGTATTGTTTTTATCAAAAAAAACCTAAAACGAAGTGTATATATCAAGAGAAATAGCGAAATTCGTGAAGAATTATCAAATTTCATAAGATTCTTGGATTACGCTATCAAGTAGAATGGCGCTGCATGTTATGGTATCCTACGGTGAGTTCGATAGAGACTTTGAAACATCATATCATAATATAGAACTGATAAAATCTACTAATCTATAACATCAGAGACTTAGTAAAAGTCACAACATCATCAAACAATAATGGTTCTGAAATTTTATGCCTTGTTACGGATTTCTGTTTGACTGTATACACTATTTTAAAATACTTCAAAATGTAGAAATTTCATAGATTTTCGAGTACTTTCGGATTCAGAATTCTCTTGTTCCTTCTTGAGATACATGTCAATTGGTATCGCACGATGATGCTAGTAAAATAAGAGCCGGAGAGAATACTACTATGAAATAGTAAAGACAGATGAACGCTCAAGTTAGAATCTGCGTAAAAGCCTAAAACGCATATTATATGTTTCTTGTTGCTAAAGAATTAAAAAGGAATACATGTCAAAAATAATATGAACTGTTGTAACTGTCACACGTCATAACCAAATATATTTTAGTGAAATTTTACTACTATGATATTGTTTGAAACAAGATGTAATACTACAGAAAAAAAAAGAATGTCGTTTGTACTCTCAGTGCATATAGAGCCAAAATTTCTTTTAGTTTTTGGTGAGAGATTAAAGTAACTTCGCCATTACTTTTGATATGTCCTAAGTATGTTATATTAATTATCTTTGTAAAAAGTAAATCTAATTTAATTTTAATCTTACCTTTAGTCCAAGGTAAAAAAGGACTTCGTTTTTTATCTTTTTTTTCTTCATCTTTTAATTTAATCTATTCATAAGAAAAAAGACTAATAAGAATCATAAAAAAACATTTTTTTTTTTTCATACAAAACTATTTGATCTTTCTTCATTATTTTTTGATATTTGTTGTTTTGAATAAGAGATAGATTTTCCTTGCATTTCATTTCTAATACAATCTTTATATATATCTGACTTTAAAAATCTTGTATAAGAATCATATTTCATTAAATGAAATATTTGAGATTGTGCTTTTTCAAACATATGAATATTAGGATTGGTTAATAATAATTCATGACATTCTTGTCGTGTTCGATTATCAATATTGATTCGACATGAACCATCATTTGTATCAAATAAATATGTGGACCAAATTGATGTAGCTTTATGACGAATCTATAAAAAAATCAATTGTATATACATACATATGATAAATAATTCAATAGAAAAATAAGAGACTTCATCTTGATTTGTTAATTTTTTAAAATTTTCACATTCAATCCAAAATTGAATATTTTCTTGACTAAATTCTTTTTTTAAAAATTCTGTAAATACATATAAACCAATTTCATCATTAAGTAATTTTTCAAAACTAATTGCCCATGATGTTGTCGAAGAATTTTCTTCGTTTAAATCAATTGAACCTTCATTAATACTTGTTTCATGTTGTAATGATAATTCATTTTCATTACTTATTGCTGTTAAAGACTAAAACAAAGAAATATTTTAAGAAAAAGAAAAAAAACTAGGTAAACATACAGAACCAGTTGTTAAAATATAAGCTGAAGCAAATCGTGCACGTAAATCTTCAATTGATGTTGGATGATCCAAAAATGGACTGGAAGGATGATATTGAAAATTATTTCCCTCAATTAAATGTGAATCATTTGCAAAAGAATGACGACGAGGATGATGATCAATCCATAAAAATTGACCTGTTGTTGCTATTGTTGTTGTTGCTGTTGATCCTATGCCTCCTAATTCATTATCAAGTAAATCACCATCGGATAAAGATGATGATGATGAAGATGAACATGGAACTGGACATAAATCATCATCTTGACAAAATCTTAATAAAAAAAAAAATTTTATTAATAAGACAACAAAACAAAAAAAAACGTAATTAGGTTTTTACTCCGGTGGTGGTGGAATACTTCGTTGATGTTGATCATCTTCTTCATCATCTTCTTCAATTGAAGATCGTAATGGATTTGGTGATGATGATTCAACAGATGATTGTGATGTTGTGCCTGTTGTACAAGAATCAACATTGGAATCAATTGATGTTGCACAGGAACTATTTGTTGAACAGGTATCTAGAAATCATTAATAAAAGTTATTCTTATACAAAATTTCAGAGAAGTTAGATTTAGTAGTATAAACTGAGGCATTAATCGGCGACGGTAGTGAATGAAATTTTTAAATGAAAAAAGAAAGCAAACGATAGTAGAGAAATTATTGACAAGAACATCTTTAAAAACTGATTTATCACGTCATAAATTTTCAAAAATCAAATCATCTTCCGATGTTTTCTCGTTAACTGCATGCTTGTTGAGTACAGTTCAATACGTACAATTTGTGAAGGTCTCAAACACAACATTACCTTCTCACTGAAATCGGAATCTCTATTTCGAACTTTTTAATTAAAGCTATAAAAGCACATTTATTCTACAAAAAGTTATTTTGAGTAATTATCAAAATTTTAGTTTCGTTCGAAATTCTAAAAGAAAAAATGTATTTACTCTTACATTTATTTTATTTTCTTTGTAGGTAAATGATATTGTAAGTCAACGAGTAATAATTTATTTCATGAGCAATGACAAATGCATAGAAATTTACTTCTCAAATGCTGTGAACATTTTTAAACAGAACTGAATCGACAGATTTAGAATTTTCTAGATTCTTGAAATAGCGACCAATTGATATGGTCGAAATATAAAGATAAAGAAGTTTTTTCTCGCAAGCGTTGGTAGAAATTTTCACTGATGCGAGCACCTCGCAAAGTTATAAAAAGTTTTCAATAAAAGTAGTTCATTGCCGAAGTACGAGATTTTCAAACATCTTCTGTCTTTAGATACCAATATTAAAAATTCTCTTATATGAAAAAGCAAAAACTTGTTTATAAGTTAAAATATATGATACTTGAAAATTAGACACTTTCAGAATCAATTAATTCCATTGAGAGCTTTGTTTATACAAAATTTGAGCTCGCAATTCAATTCGAAAGATGATGTAAGTGAGAGAGCACGGTATTGTCTTGAAAACTTATTATCGCGAGGACTTATCTAATGATAGTAAACATTATTTTTCTATTGTATCAGAGAACATCTTTAATTCTGAAGGGATTAATCTTCAGCCTATGCCTAATTACTTTCCAATTTATGATAAAATCTATTAAAAAATTCATAGAAAGGTTACGAAAGAACAAATCTTAGAAGCTGCTGCTGCTCTCTAAAGGAATTGAATAAACTCGAACATATCTTTCTAGTTTAAGAAGATGTTTTCTAATTCAAAACAGTATCTGAGCCAACGAAAATCTATTCTTATTTGAATAAAAACTTTTTGACAAACCTGGTTCATCTAATTTATCTTTTTTATGCTTATCTTCCATAGTACATTGATGATTTGAACAATGTTTTGCTCTTGTAAATAAACATTGTATTATTCGATTTCTTTCATCAATTGATGATGCACGAAAAACAAACATTGAACTTGAATTATGTTCATATTTAAATTTATTAATATTTTCATCAATTCTAATTGAACAATAAAGTATAAGTGCAAATAATGTTGGTTGAGTATGAAATAAACAAATATAACTTAAATATTTTCCAGCTAAAAATTTAAACCATAATGGACTTATTTGAAATTGTTTACATTGTATACGAAATTCAATTTTATTTGATGTTGAATTTAATATTGAACGTTTAAGAAATTTTTGTATTTTTTTTACTAATTCATTTTGATTATTATTATTATTATGATCAATATCAAAATAACCAAGAAAATCAATTGAAGAAAATGTATATAATGTTTGATGATTAAATGATAATGAAGATTGTGAATCAATGAGATTAACACCTGGTGTTAATGATGAATACATATCTTTTAATAAAATAATATCATTTATTTGTGATAATAACATTCGAAGATTTGTACTAATTAAAACTTTTGATAGACGTTGACGATTTATATTAGGAAAAGATTTTTGATGATGTGAAATAATTGGATCTGATGTTATACTTGTTGTAGAATCTTGAGAAGATGATGTTAGAGATTCTCGAGCTTTTTTATAATAATGTTTTATAGGATATTTATTGTTTGTTGATGATGAACCGATGTTAACATCACGAAGAATTCGTCCACGAAGAGCATCATTTACTGATATTTTAGATGTTATACGACAAGGAGATGGTGATAAAATATTTTCTTTACATTCAATACTATCATCTTCATCAATATCATCATCAGGATCGAGAACCTAAAAGAATCTTTTTTTCTTTATTCAACGAAAATAAAATATTTGATGTAGTTCAAATTCTTACTTCAAGTACAAGCAGATTTGTATGTTTAGCATAAACAAGTCTTTTAACATCATCATGTCTTGCATCAAGTACATTATAACCATTAACTTTAGCTAAAATTTGTCCTGAACGAAGACCACTTGATTGAGCTAAACTTCCTGAATAAACACAAATTGAACAAGGTTGTTCATATTGTATAGCAAAACCAAATTTATCTCGTTCACTTCTACGACGTAATTCAATTCTATGTAATATAGAACGAGGATGTTCATTCATTTATATTTAAATCTTAAAGCATAAATAAGACAAAAACAGTTTTATTTTTTTTTTTTTTACAGAAATAAAAGCAATATTTTATTTTAATGCACTAAGAAAAAAAAAATTTGAAATATGTATATTGAGAGAACAAAGAAGTTCATATACACTGTTCAACAAATAAGCACATAAATATTACGATGTAGACATTTGCCTAAAATATTTCAGATTTTGATTATCGACGAGTATTGACTATGCATACTTCAATCTAAATATTAATAATCAACACATGTATCAAAATAAAATTTTAGTCAAATGTTAAATGACAATTAATTGTTTACTTGAAGAAAATCTTTATTTGAGGTAATAAAGAAGAAATAAAAAACGTATTTTTCAGTTTGACTTGAAAATTGCTTCAATGTAAATTTGTCAATGCCAAAAAGCATAATGTCTTATGTAGCAAATCAAGCTTTACTATCATCAGAATGCATAAAATACTTCGTGGTACGATTTTTCTGTTTGGTTATCTCGAACAGTCATTTTCTAACAGATTTAAATAGTTTATGTTCTGAATCCTATTACAATTATATAATCAACTGTGAGTACCTTGAGAAAAGTCATGTCCTTAGCTTAGAGTACTTTTGCAATAGTTTCTGAATGAATACTATGGACCGTCATTCAAGAACACAGGAAAAATTGATTTTCGAATTTAAATTTGAAACTTTGTTGAAGAGCTAGACTCTAATGAGCACGCTTTATTGTGAAAGTTGCAATTTGTTTATATGAACGATGTAAAAGACAGGCTTTTATCATGGATGTATCTGAAATTAGGAACAATGACAAGATCTATAACGTTCACAATAAACTATTCTCGTTTAGGACTGTTTCTATGTAAAGTTTCAATTCAAAATTGAAATACCCAAAGTATCAAGCGAGAAAAGTCTAATCGAATAAATTATTTTTTTAATTCTTATTGATTTAGAGCTTCGTTTTCATTATCTGCAGTAACAATCTGATGAAATACTATTGATATCTATACATCGAAAGAGTGTTCCCTCTTCATACGTGATTATTCAATTGAATAATATAAACAGAAAGTTTCATAGAAATTTCTGTGAGAAACATTTATTTATATTAAATTAATAAATATTATATCAATAGTTCGAATAAATTACTTTATTTATGATTATTTAGTTTAGAACTTCAAATACTCTACAGTACTATAAAGATCTTCATCATTTTCATTTTTGAGAAAACTGTAATATTCATATTCTATTTAAAGTTTTTAACTTACGCATCGAAGTCCTTTCTCCATTGGATCAACCATGAAAATGCCCCGAGGATTAAGAACATTGTCATTTTTCTCTGTAATATATTTAGCAGCACGTTTAACACACTAAATACGATCATTTATATTCAAATGAAAAACCAAACATTCTGAAAAAATTTTACCTTTTCATAATGTGTAGGCATACAAAGTAAAATTAAATAACCTGTTAAACAAGCACAACAATTTTCCATAAATGTTTTACATGATAAGGTTTCTGCATCGGCAAAAATTGCATTTATTTCACGTATTATTTCAGTAAATTCATTTGGATCAATCTGAATCAACGAAAAAATAAGAAATAATATAAATTAGAAGAAAATAAAAATCATTTACCTTCCCTGCAAGTTCATTAGGACAACGTTCTTGAAATTTTACAGCAGTACCCTCAGAATAATCACGTTGAATAAATAATTTTATTGATTGATCATTTGTTAAACGGGTAGTATCATCCATCTCGAATAGGTTTATTTCAAACTTTCGTAGACAAACAAAAAGAACAAGAAGATGCAACAACAACGTCTTGTTTTGTTCAATGATTGGTGGATGAGACGTAATTAGTCAGATAGTTGACATTACTAGATGACGCTACTGAACGACTATACTATATTTCACATGAGTAGTAATATGAACAAACGGAGCATAACTATTCAAGAGTAGAAGAGTTTTTACTCTTAAAATATTTTTATCAATAAGAAATATTACTATGAAAGAAGTGATCATGTTGCAGATATATTGTAGCATATAAAATGTTCATATAATGAAATATATAGAAACAAATACAGTCAATTGAAAACTCTTGCTATATTTGTTAATTCATTTTATTCATTGATGCATATAGTATGCACTGCCTTTCATAGTATTGTACGCGTGGTACTTTTTTTTAAACTGAATGTTTGCTGTTTGTTATATTCTGAAAATTTTCCTAAAACTGCTTTTATTATTCGATAAAAGTTGACTATATATATGATGTCGTTGACAAAATTTCTTTTTGCATTATTTTTACCATGCTCAGTTGTTCTTTCTCAACCGAGGAAGATCGAATGAAATTTTTCTTGCGATAGTTTGCCTTACCTCATTAGATACCTTCGACTGAGACGAGAAACAGTCGAAAAAGAATCGTGGCAACTATGAATTTTTCTTCTTTAATTAGGATGATTTTAGTAAGTTTTTTTTTTAAAATCTACTGAGCTCTGTCTTATATCACCTTTCAAATTGAAGACTGGTTGAAGTATACGTTGTGAATCGTCGATTCCCAAATCACTTCAGAGAAGATAAGATATATGATAAAGTGTTCTTTCCTTGAGATGTATATTTGCAATTTTATACAGCTGTTTAACCTCTCTGTTTTTGTTTCGTCTTATTTCTCGCTTTTTACATATTTAAAAAAACCAATATCTTTTGCATAATATTACCAACTAATATGATTATTACAGTAACCACTGTGTATGTTGATAAAGACGATTT